ATAAATTAGTGCCCCTATCCAGGGTCATTTCACTCTGGCTCAAGGACGGGCTGGCGAGGGCTCTTTAAAACCCAGGACTGAGATTTCCTGGATCTCGGCTAGGAGGGCCTTTCACCCCATCGTGAGCCGGACGGTTGGCTGCCCCTTTTGAAGTTCTCCCAAAACTTCTTGGCTAATCTTGCTGCCCTCCCCCCCCGCCCCCTCCTGTTTTTTTCAACCCCGAGTAAAAAGAAAGACGGATGATACTCAATGACCTTCCATTCACCTGTGCAGGGAAGGCCCAAAATCCCACAGGGAGAGCAAAAAGGTGAAACGAAACCAGCTTCCAAGGTGAGTTTCCAGCTTCCATCCGGAAGCTCATTTCAGACAGGGAGGGTTTCACTCCCCTTCATTTCAATTTATGCGTCGCTGAAGTTCTCGCCGTCCTTCCTGACACCCTCACTTTCCCGTGGGGAGTGTCCCCCCCAACTGCCACCACCTCCACCTCCTCCAGGCCACCTGACCCACCAGGTTTCACAGGTTGAAAAACTCCCCGAAGTCACCTTTCTTTCTCTTCATCCGAGACTGTTCCTGGATGGGATATGCCAAGTTTGAAAGACTGAAAAGAGGGAGGGAGGGAGGGAGGGAGGAAAAGGAAGGGAAGGGAATGTAGGGAAGGAAGGAGAAAAGGAAAGAGAAGGTTGAAGGAAAGAAAAGGGGAAAAAAAGAGACCAGGGAAGAAAGGAAAAAGAGGAGGATGGATGGAAGGGAGAAAGCAACGGTAGAAGGAAAGGAGAAAGGGAAGAAATGGAAAAGAAAGCAACAGGGAGTGAGTAAAGGAAAGAAGGAAAGGAAAGGAAAAGAAAGGGATAGGGAGGGAGGGAAGGAAGAAGAGGAAGGAAGGAAAGGAGAGGAAGAGGGGAGGGGAGAAAGATGAGGGGGAGAAAGGAAGGGAAGGAAGGAGGAAAAAAAAGGAGGGGTAGCTACCTAAATGGAGAGCCAGGTGGGCAGAGTCTCTTTTCTCTCTCTCTCTCTCTCTCTCTCTCTCTCTCTCTCTCTCTCTCTCTCTCTCACACACACACACACACACACACACACTCACACAGTGTTTCTTCACCTTTCTGAAGGTGGGCAGGAAGAAAGACATAGAGCAAAAAAAAAAAAAACCCCAAAAAGTCTTGGAGCACCCAACCATTTCCAAGAGGAGGAAACACCCAACTTTTCAAAAACTTTGCCAACTTGCTCCACCTTCCCCAAATAGCAGCCTTCACAAGTTGTCCCAACACCTGCTTCTCCTTCTCCTTCTTCTTTGGCAGCCTGGCCCAGAGGAAGTGCGCAGAATCACATAAAAGACCTGGAAGCTTTTTTTGCCTTGTCTTGTCTTGGAGGGGGGGGGGGAGAGCACCCTTCCCCGCCCCCCGCTCCTGGGTGGCTGAAGCCTGCAGGCCCAGATCCACAAGCAGGAGCCCCCCCTCAACCTTGGCCGCTTGAAGACTGGTGGACTTCCACTCCCAGAATTCCTCCTCCAGTTATGTTAGCTGAGGAACCCTGGGAGTTGAAGTCCACCGGTCTTAAAAGTTGGCAAAGTTGGAGCCCCCCCTGAATTAAGGAACCTTTTTCAAATTGGGGGGGGGGGGGGAGAGAGAGAGAGACACAGGGGCGTTCTGACCCAGAGGAAATCTCAGTCCTGGGTTTTAAGGAGCTGTTGCCAGGCTGTCCTTGGGCCAGAGTGAAATGACCCTGGATAGAGAGGCATGGATTTATACCCCCACCCCCTCAAAAGGAAGGGTTTGCAGGAAATTTGTTACTGTACTTCCAAAGAGAGGAAGAGAGATTTTGCTCCTGGGGAAAAGGAGGAAAATAAGAGATTTTGCTCCAGGAAAAAAGAGAGGGGAAAATAGAGATTGTGCTCCTGGAAAAAGAAAGAAAGAAAAGAGATTTTGCTCCAGAAAGAAAAGAGAGGAAAAGGAGATTTTGCTCCTGGGGGAAAAAGAGGAAAATAGAGATTTTGCTACAGGAAAAAAGAAAGAAAGAAAGGAAGGAAGGAAGGAAGGAAGGAAGGAAGGAAGGAAGGAAGGAAGGAGATTTTGCTCCAGGAAGAAAAGAGAGGAAAAGAGATTTTGCTACTGAGGAAAAAAGAGATTTTGCTCCAGAAAGAAAAGAGAGATTTTGCTTCTGGGGGAAAAAGAGGAAAATAGAGATTTTGCTCCAGGAAAAAAAAGAAAGAAAAGCGATTTTGCTCCAGAAAGAAAAGAGAGATTTTGCTTCTGGAAAAAAAGAAACTTTGCTTCAGGAAAAAAAGAGAAAGAGAGAAAGAGATTTCCGAAGTTTTGCCCCAGAGGCCGTTTGCAAATACACCACCCCGGGTAAAAGACCCAACGCCCCCCCCCCCCCCCCCCCCCGACTGCCCCAAAAGGAACTCCGCCCCCCCCCCCCCCGAAAGAGCCGGGGACAAAAATGCAACCGTGCAAAAGAAGAAGAAGAAGAAGAAGAAGAAACTGCAACCGTGTTTCCCAGAAAGGAAGCGAGCCGGGAGGGGAAGTTCGGGGCTCCTCCGCCCCACAGACCGCAAATCCGCCCCGTCCCGTCCCG